GTGGCAGCTGAGAGGTGAGTGAAGAGGTGATGAGAAGTTTCAACCAGATTTGGAGAGGGAAGGGCAAATATTCATGGTAGAAATCTCATTTTGTCATATCAGAGGTGGCATCGGTGTATACAAACAAAGTAACTTGGGATTTTTGTAATCGATATTCTCTTGTAATTTTTTTAGGTTCAATTAAGGGTTCTTGCTGACACGTTGAAACACGTTTTCTAAAGCAAATACTTGCAAATTACGCCTATAGAAATTTAGGTTTCGTAGCTGACAGCTGTGACTGGTTAACGTTGTCATATTGGAGGGACTTCACCACGTACCTCGCTCAGAAAGCTCGACCTTTTCAACCCCAAATTTGCTTTTATTGCCTTTTAATACTGACTTGAAATATGACAACTTGGTTTGTACATGAATATTGCAGTATTTTATTTCCATATATTAAGAAAATAACATTTCCGCTCAGGATAACGGCGGCGCTTTCCTGGGAGGGAGTGGTATGAGTGTCATGACAATGTCATGTGATGGTAGAATTTCTTCATTGACGAATCTCTAGTGGTTGTGTATACTTTATTTACCCATCTTCGTGTTCCTACCCGAAACCGGAGCCTTTTGTTGTTTCCTCCCTGCTGAGCCCTGGCGCTCCGGGGGCAGAATTGGAGCAGAGCCCCCGGGGAGCGTCACCGACACCCCAAACACCCCAAAAGTGAGAAATTGGGCGTTTTTGGGCGCGGGTGGCACTGCAGCTCCCCGAGCCGCCTCGGGCACCCCGCAGCCCACGGGGCTGGGGCAGCACCACCTCCACGTGCGTCCGCGTGGCCGCCTTCGACCAAAATCGGCTTTTTTCTGCCCTTTTCCTTCCCCTCTGGAGCAGTTGGGTTCTGGGGAGCTCCCGGGGCCGGCTGAGCTTTGGGACCCGAGCGGTGCCACCCGCGGTGGCTCTGCCCTTGCCCTGCTGCCAGCCCCGAGAATTCCGTGTTTGTCTGTTCAGAACAACCTCTGGCGTAACAAACTATTGACTGTTCTTAGGCGGTGGGGATAAATTTCATTTTTTTCCGTGACTTTTCATGACTGACTTTGGCTGTAAAACTTTTTTTGTTCAACAGCAAAAGTTTATTTTGGGGAGGGGTTTGTGTTTGATTTTTTTTGTTGTTCTTGTTCCGAGATGTGTAATTCTTTTACGGATTTTTTTTTT